GGCGTTTCCGTAGGGGCTACCTCGGTGGAGAGTCCAAACCAGGTGCCCGCATTGCACGTTCCACCTGAGTATGGGGATTTGGCTATTGCGTTTAGTAAGGCGAGGGCGACGCGGTTGCCACCCCATAGGCAGGGGGATTGTGCGATAAACCTCCAGGCAGGAGCTGCGCTCCCACGGAGCCATGTGTATCCTCTGTCTCAGGAGGAGAAGAAAGCTATGGAGATTTACATAGACGAATCGCTGAGACAAGGATACATACGGCCGTCCACTTCCCCCGCGTCCTCGAGTTTCTTTTTCGTGAAGAAAAAGGATGGTGGTTTGCGTCCGTGCATCGATTACCGTGGTCTCAATCAGATTACGGTGAAGTATAGTTATCCACTCCCGCTGATTGCGACCATGACTGAGTCGTTGCATGGGGCGCGTTTCTTCACGAAATTAGATCTCAGGAGCGCGTACAACTTGGTGCGCATCAGGGAGGGTGATGAATGGAAAACAGCCTTTAGTACCACCTCGGGCCATTACGAGTATCTGGTCATGCCATACGGGTTGATGAACGCTCCATCAGTTTTCCAATCATTTGTGGATGAGATCTTCAGGGACATGCAGGGGCAGGGGGTGGTGGTGTACATTGATGACATTCTCGTGTACTCACCTACCCGTGTCGAGCATGTGGCCCTGGTGCGCAGGGTGCTGCGGAGGCTGGTGGAGCACGACCTGTATGTGAAGGCAGAGAAGTGTCTGTTTTTCCAGGAGTCGGTCTCCTTTTTGGGTTATCAGTTGTCTGCGTCAGGGGTGAAGATGGAGGTAGACCGGGTGTCGGCCGTGCGTAATTGGCAAACACCAACCACGGTGAAGGAGGTGCAGCAGTTTTTGGGGTTTGCAAATTACTACAGGAGGTTTATCCGGGGTTTTGGACAGGTGGCAGCTCCCATCACGTCTCTGTTGAAGGGGGGTCCGGTGCGTCTGCAGTGGTCGGCCGAGGCGGACAGGGCGTTTGGGAGGCTGAAGGACCTGTTTACCTCGGCCCCGGTGCTGGCGCATCCGGATCCCTCTTTGCCGTTCCAAGTAGAGGTGGACGCGTCGGAGGCCGGTTTAGGAGCCGTGCTTTCACAACGGTCTGGCGCGCCACCTAAACTCCGCCCCTGTGCTTTTTATTCTAAGAAGCTCAGTCCGGCGGAGCGGAACTATGACGTAGGGGACAGGGAGCTGTTAGCCGTGGTACAGGCTCTAAAGGTGTGGAGGCACTGGCTTGAGGGGGCTCAACACCCTTTCCTCATTTTGACGGACCACCGTAACCTGGAGTACATCCGGGCGGCGAGGAGGCTGAACCCTCGCCAGGCAAGATGGAGTATGTTCTTGACCAGGTTTACTTTTAAGATCACGTACATCCCTGGGTCACAGAATGGCAAGGCAGATGCGCTGTCTCGGCGGTATGACGCGGAGGAGAGGTCCGTGGAGCCCACTCCCATACTGCCTGAGTCGTGTCTGGTGGCACCGGTAGTGTGGGAGGTCGATGCTGAACTCGAGCGGGCGTTACGCACCGACCCTAGTCCACCACAGTGCCCGGAGGGTCGGAAGTACGTTCCGCTCGAGGTTCGGGATCGATTGATCTATTGGGCTCACACGTCACCCTCCTCTGGACATCCGGGTATCGGCCGGACAGTGCACTGTCTTAGTGCCAAGTACTGGTGGCCCACGTTGGCAAGGGATGTGAGGGTTTATGTTTCCTCCTGCTCGGTGTGCGCCCAGTGTAAGGCGCCTAGACATCTACCTAGGGGTAAGTTGCTACCCCTGCCCGTTCCACAACGGCCATGGTCCCACCTATCAGTGGACTTTATAACAGACCTTCCCCTCTCCCAAGGGAATACTACCATCCTGGTCGTTGTGGACCGGTTCTCTAAGGCCTGTCGTTTGCTCCCCATGCCGGGTCTTCCTACGGCCCTGCAAACTGCCGAGGCACTGTTTACCCATGTGTTCCGGCACTACGGGGTACCCGAGGACATTGTGGCTGATCGGGGTCCCCAATTCACCTCCAGAGTCTGGAGAGCGTTTATGGAGCGGTTGGGGGTCTCGGTGAGCCTCACCTCGGGTTACCACCCGGAGAGCAATGGGCAGGTGGAACGCGTAAACCAGGATGTGGGTAGGTTTCTCAGAACATACTGCCAGGACCGGCCGGAGGAGTGGTCAAGGTACGTTCCCTGGGCCGAGATGGCCCAGAATTCCCTACGCCATTCCTCCACTAACCTAACTCCATTTCAATGTGTGTTAGGTTACCAGCCGGTTCTGGCACCCTGGCAGCAGAGCCAGATCGAGGCTCCTGCGGTGGATGAGTGGGCGCGGCGCTCGGAGGAGACTTGGAACGCTGCACACGTCCACCTGCAGCGGGCCCTCCGACGTCAGAAGGCGAGCGCTGATCTCCACCGCAGTGAGGCACCGGTGTACGCACCTGGTGATCGAGTCTGGCTCTCTACCAGAAACCTGCCCCTCCGCCTGCCCTGTCGGAAACTGGGTCGGCGGTTTGTAGGGCCATTTAAAGTCCTGAGAAGGTTGAACGAGGTATGTTATAGATTACAGCTACCTGTGGAGTATAAGTGTATTAACCCCTCGTTCCATGTGTCCCTTCTCAGGCCGGTGGTAGCGGGCCCACTCCAAGAAGATGAGATCTTGGAGACTCCTCCGCCCCCGTTGGACATCGAGGGGGCACCGGCGTACTCCGTGAGATCCATCTTGGATTCGAGACGTCGGATGGGGGGTCTCCAGTATCTAGTGGAGTGGGAGGGGTACGGTCCGGAGGAGCGGTGCTGGGTGCCGAGGAGAGACGTGTTGGACCCGTCGCTCCTGACGGAGTTCCATCGGAGGCATCCGACGCGCCCTGCGCCGCGTCCCCCTGGTCGTCCCCGAGGCCGGAGTCGGCGCACGTCTGGAGCCGCGCGTCAAGGGGGGGGGTACTGTCACGGTTTCGGCCGAGGCTGCCTCTCTCCCTTGTTCGGGCAGGCTTCGGCGTTCGTCGTCTCCGGAATTCTAGCTGCCACCGCTAGATGTTTCATGTTCGTTTGCTTTTGTCTGTTTGTTTCCACACCTGTTTCTGTTTTGACGTAATTAGTGTCCTATACGTTTCTCGTTGTGTTTGTCTAGTGTTGTGTGTGATTGTTTCCGTCAGTGTTGTGTTTTGCTCGGTTGAGCGTATTTCTCCACTGTGCTGGAGCTTATTTTGCACTTGTGTGTGCACCGTTACATTTTGTCGCACCTGTTAGTGCGCATTTACCTTTCGCCTTCGTGCGGGTTTTGCTGTCGGGCTTAGTTGTCCTGTTGCCTGTGTTGGGCCAGTAATACAGCCTTTGGAACATTCAGTCTGCGTCCTGCGTTTGATTCCTACACTACACCTACAACACGCCCTGACAGAATGTCATAGTACACTGTATACACCGTTCCACACGTGTGGGTTCCTATAGCAGGCGGTCAGCAACCTTTTTCATATGAGTGCCAAATTACAATTGATCCTACCATTTCTAAAGATATGCGTGCCAGTTATGATTTTCATATAAGCATTGTAGGCTACTCAACTGTGCCCAAAAAATGTAACAGAAACGCTGTCCATTCAGCCACACGCCACGGAGCTCCACTATGCCTACCTGTACCAAGGTGCTGTCCATTCAGCGGTGCTGAATCACGGGCGTGGCCTTAATCTGTAGACGTTCCTTTTGTATTTCATTCTTTGGTTGAGTTTGTTTGTCTTCATGCATCCTTGTCGATTGTAGGCCTAAGTAAGTCCTTTGATATCTGCCTTTTATTTCAATGCATGTGTAGGATATATCTGGCATAGTTTTAATTCGCAGTCAGCTGTTTTATGCTCAGGTTACTTTCACATTGATGTCGGTTTTTGAAGTCGGCCTTGTTGTGACTTGACAGCATGTATTATGCATCTATTTCATGTTGCACTGCATGCGCTGTTCCACAAGTAAATGCGTCAATGTACTGTATGTATGATGAGGCTGAGTAATACATTGTACACACCATTCCACAGACCTTAAAAACCTAATATAAACCACATTTTGCGGTGATAATTAATGTCTGGGGATTATTTACATATTTTTGCTGTTCTCCAGATAGGTTTTAAATTGTGTAGAACGACAGTAAATGAGCTTCAGCTGGTCACACCACTTTGCCACTCCCTAGGTTTAGCTGAACTGACGCCACTGGTGGTAATATCGCTCTAGGAGCTGATCCATCGTCAGTATTGTGAAATAATTCGAATGTTAAGGAAATATTTGAATGGAGATAGCTGACCTGAGAGCAGCACTGCCTTTCTTTCGATCCTATCAGTATCAACACATGCTCCAACAATGCACTTAGCAAACGTTCTCTCTGCGTGGTATTTTGGGAAACGCATGTTACATCTTCGGCCGTTGTAGGAAAGATCGTTAAAACACTTGTAAGCCTAAATACTATCGGGAAACCAGGCCCAGGTCATTAATCAGAACTATGAGCTAATCCAGGGTTTCCCAAACTTGGTCCTGGGGTCCCCCCTGGGTGCACATTTCTGGTTTTTGCATTAGCACCAAACAGCTGATTCAAATAATCAAAGCTTGATGATGAGTTGATTATTTGGGGGGGCCAGGACCGAGTTTGGGAAACCCTGAGCTAATCAACTCTCAAACACCAAGGATGCAAATCAAACACCAAGGGTGAAACCAGTGGACACAGTAGCCACAAGGTCTGGATTGAAAATTGCCTCCAGTCCAGCTGAGGTGCACCGATCCAGGCCTGATGCAATTCAGAGACCCCTGGCTATAGGCCTACAGGCCTACAGGCCTGAGCCAAGAAGCCAGGTGCAGAAACAACTCAAGGTTAGGCAGTCTCCTCTGGCTTCCAGGTGCATCAAAGGCGTGATTTAGTGCCAGCTTCTGCCAGCTTGCCCCCGTTCCCCACATACATAGGCAGTGAGCAGGAATCAAATCGCCAGATTAGTGGGTAAATATCAGCATTAAAGGTTTGTTTGGCTAGGCGAACGATGGCTGGCTGAATCTGGACAGGAGGGTAGGAGGGAGGGAGGAAAGGAGCAAGAGAGGAGGGGGGAAACCTGTTTTCCTCCTACTGAGCCGTATACCAAGAAGTCCTCCCTTTCAGAAGTGATAGAACAAAATATATAGGCTATTTCAGATTATTTACAGCGCCCTGTCAATTAATCCACTCTTTCTCAGAATAAATCAGAGAGAGTGTGCCCACCCACCCATCCTACAATAATCAACGACTACCCAGCAGTCTACGCTATCTGTGAAGCAACCCTTGTTTTCCACTCCCTTAACCAACATGTTCTTTTTTTTTTTTTGATCAAGGCGAAGTTAGTGTGCATTAGTAAGTGGGAGAAGGGGGAAACAGTGAAATGGAACGCACACTGCTGATGGTGGCTGAAATAATGAGGGGTTTGCCGCTCAGATAATGACTGTGGAGGAACCCAGCGGAGTTTTGACTGACTGCTAATAGCCTGGTATTAGCGTAGCCTAGTGGTAGCCTAGCCGTTAGCCGCTAGCCTTTACCTGCTAGCTTTTAGTAGGTAAGCCGTTAGTACGTTAGCCGTACCTTTGACGATTAGCTCTGCGTAGTTGGAGACCCCGGAGCCACCATCGGAGCGGATGACACAGCGATAGCGGCTGGTGCTTCTCTGAGACGTGTCCCCGACGCTGACGGTGGCTGAGAAACGCCGGTGGTTCACCACCCGTGTCACCATGAGGGCTGTATCTTTACCGTTCCACTGCTGCAGAGAGAGAGACAGACAGACACTTGCTTACTAACACATGTACACACAGTATTTCTCACATTGGTATGGTAAAAAAGGACAAACTGCACATATGGTCATTCAAATCTGATAACCAAAGAAACCCGCAGTATGGTTAATGTTTGTCAGACACTGCAACTTTTTCACAGCACTTTTTCCTTTGATTTCCTTACGGTATCAATCTCCCAAAAGTAACTTATTCTAGAATGTACCTGAGTCTTTCTTCTGCCTTGGGTACTACTCCATTGCAAATGCCATTACTATAAGATGCAAACATGCTAGTGCAGTATAGTGATGGCTGATAGAGAGGCAGTCGTCCACATCAAAACAACACTTTATACTCAGGGCACAGATTGTATGGATATCCCCACAGAGTTTGTACCACTACAGTGTGTGTGCAAGTACAGCAAGGAACTGGACCATACTGTAAGTGTAATTTCCCAAGGGTGGGGTCATAACACTGCAACAGAGATCAACTAAAATGCCCTGTGTATTCTACATGACTGAAAAAGCTACAGAAACGAGTCACTAAAGGTGGATGCATCCACAGCTACATCTATGAATTTGAGATTGGTTACTTCTCCAGCCCCATCCCTCAGGCAGGGCTGCCATCTGTTTTTTTTCGTCTAATTAAAGATTGCAGCTTTAAGGTGAGAGGGACAAGATGGATGACATCTATAGTGGACCGAAGGGGAGCGACTCGCCTGTAGCCACAGTTGGTCGTGTTGTGACCACTTCCCCCCGGCGGTACACTGGAAGGTGGCGTTCTGTCCCACGTTCACCTCCACATTCTGCAGCCGCAGGAAGTGAGGCGCTTTCCCTGCAAAGGGGCGGGAAACACACTCAATACAATGACTAGGCATGCATAAGCACAAACACATACTGTATCAACTCTGACGTCCACGTGAAACATGCATTGAGGTCAATGGGAAAGCTGAGTTACATGTGGAATAATGAAAACAAATACACACAACATTAAATTACCAACAAAACAGTTGTGTACATCAGTATGTTTTTTCTTTTCGTTCCAAAATCTAAAGTGAATTAAGATTTCAGGTCACCTTTCCTTCCCTAGAAATGTCTTCCCTCGTCTGCTCAGTGCACACTAATGTCCAGCTGAAAAGCAAATTAACCGAGGCTGCTCTGTGTGGCATTGAAACGGTGATCTCCTAATCTAATTTTCACCGCGCCTAGAAATGTAGGCCTAATAGTGTATTCATTGATCATTTCAATACAATAATTCTTCTTGACGTTAATTTCCCCAATTGAAGAAGAAGGCCGACTGGAATTATTTTACTCTGCCATTTATTTACCTTTCCTTCCTAATCTTATTTGAATTCAGCACTAAGAGCTCTGTTCTAATTCCCAGGGAAAGCTCTAAGTCTAAGTATGGAAAGAGAGAGGCAGAGAGAGTGAAAGAAAGAAAGAAAGAAAGAAAGAAAGAAAGAAAGAAAGAAAGAAAGAAAGAAAGAAAGAAAGAAAGAAAGAAAGAAAGAAAGAAAGAAAGAAAGAAAGAAAGAAAGAAAGAAAGAAAGAAAGAAAGAAAATACATCTAGGACACGGAGTGCCTTAAAGATATGAGGCAAAGAGGTTCTGTCAGCTTTGAATGATGAAGGCCCTGAGTTTGTACCTTCTTCTCTGCTCCTCAATCTGTCTCGTCCTCACTCCAACCCCCTCGGTCTGTGCCCCCCCCCACTCCCAAACAGACAACACACCAAACACACACACACCAAGCACACACACATGCACATACCGAACATACAGACACACCAAACACACACAAATACACACACACACAGCCTGCTGTCCTAGCCAGGAGTGTGAGACCAGATGATGCTCCATGGGGTAGTGTCACGGCGGGTCACTTACGGCATGGGTGGGCCAACACTCGGACCTCGTCCACCGCGATGAACCCTGGATGGCCCTGTACGGATACAGTCTCGAATATCACCTTCCGCAGAGGGGGAGAGGAAGAGAGATGGGGAGAGATGGGAGGGGGATAGAGAGAAACACATTTTTATTTATTTATTTTTTAGCCATTTTTCGTTGCCCTTGGAAAACTAATCCGGACACCCTGTAAGAACGGCATCCACCATGTAGTCGACAACCCACTACTCATTCACCATCTCTAACTACACACCCTTCAAAACGCAAGCTTGTTGCCACGTTGACAGCAACTCTTTCCATTGGGACAGCTGCGACAATATCTTCACGTCATAATTAACAAACAATACAGGCCGATTGTCAGCCTACTGTTGCTCACATATGGCCCTGGCAGAATGTGCAGGCCAGTAGAGCAGTGCCATGTGCCCGGGACATGTGGGGCTCACACAGGGCTCTCGGTGGGGCTGCCAGACTGGCCTTCAGGGCTCTATGGCCAGAGAGAGAGAGATAAATACCTATTTCACACTATAGGGCCAACCCGAACCCGACTTTGATATTTTCTTTTCACATTGTCCTTTACAGCACGTTCCTGCCACTATGTTGGATGTGTAACCAGGCCAACTCAAGCTTGGCTTGGCTCAGCTCGGCTTGCTAAGCGAAGGACAGGAGAGAAGGCTGGTGGCGGAGAGGAGCCTCCTTCCACAGGTATAGTCAGGTGTAAGTCTGTAAGTCGCTCTGGATAAGAGCGTCTGCTAAATGACTAAAATGTAAATGTAAAATGTAAAAGCCTCCAAGGTTGTTGCTTTGCTCATAATAGGTTAGGCTTGGGGGAAAGAACTAAATGGGTAGCTTTCTTGACAGAATGTTTTATCAACAATAATTAGCCTCTAATTATAATGTAATCGATGAATTGGTTAGATAGACTAAATGCTAAAATGAATCTTCTCATTAAAAAAAGAAGCATGTGAACTAGGGTTTTATATTTTCCAGAGAATCTACCAATTTTCCTTCCAGAGAAAATTTTATGAAATTACCGGGCATTGCGGTATTCTAGTTCAAACCGGAAGTGCTATTTAAAAGCAGCGGGAAAAAAAAAAATCTGACTTGATTATACCACTGTAAATGGAGAAATATAAACATGAATGTAACGTTTTCTTTTTGCATTTGTTGAAATTTAATCAACTCTAAGTTCTTTCAAAATCACAACACTATTTTGTTGCTGTAGCCTAGTTTTAGGTAGCCAAGGTCAGTGTTTCCCAACTCCAGTCCTCTTTGTTGAGGCCCCGGACAAACTCACCTGATCAACTTGTCAACTAATTATCAAGCCCTGGATGAGTTGAATCAGGTGATTTGTCAAGGGCTACAACAATGTAAAAGTGGAAAATTATACTGTATATATATATTATTTTTTTATTAATGGAAAACAAAACATCAATATTATTTGATCAGATAAGTATTCAACCCCTTGAGTCAATACATGTTAGAATCACATTTGGCAGCGATTACAGCTGTGAGTTTTTCTGGGTAAGTCTCTAAGAGCTTTGCAAACCTGGATTGTAAAATATTTGCCCATTATTCTTAAAGAAATTCTTCAAGCTCTGTCAAGTTGGTTGTTGATCATTGCTACACAGCTATTTTCAAGTCTTGCCATAGATTTTCAAGCCGATTTAAGTCAAAACTGTAACTAGGCCACTCAGGAACATTCAATGTTGTCTTGGTAAATAACTCCAGTGTATATTTGGCCTTACATTTTACGTTATTGTCCTGCTGAAAGATGGATTGGTCTACCAGTGTCTGTTGGAAAGCAGACTGAACTAGGTTTTTCTCTAGGACTTTGCCTGTGCTTAGCTCTATTCCTTTTCTTTTTATCACAAAAAATGATTTAGTCCTTGCCGATGATAAGCATACCCATAACATGATGCAGCCACCACCATGCTTGAAAATATGAAGAGTGGTACTCAGTGATGTGTTGTGTTGGATATGTATTCAGGACAAAAAGGTAATTTCTTTGCACATTTCTTTGCAGTTTTACTTTAGTGCCTTATTGCAAGCAGGATGCATTCTTTTCACTCATTTAGGTTAGTATTGTGGCGTAACTAAAATGTTGTTGATCCATCCTCAGTTTTCTCCTATCACAGCCATTTAACTCTGTAACTGGTTTAAAATCACAATTGGCCTCATGATGAAATCCCTGAGCGGTTTCCTTCCTCTCCATCAACTGAGCTAGGAAGGACACCTTTATCTTTGAAGTGTAATCCAAAGTGTAATTAATAACTTCATCATGCTCAAAGGGATATTCAATGAATGCTTTTTATTTATTTATTATCCATCTACCAACAGGTGCCCTTCTTTGTGAGGCACTGGAAAAACTCCCTGGTATTTGTTGTTGAATCTGTGCTTGAAATTCACTGCTCGACTGAGGGACCTTGCAGATAATTCTATGTGTGGGGTACAGAGATGGGGTAGTCATTCAAAAATCATGTTAAACCCCATTATTACACACAGAGTTAGTCTATGCAATTAAGTGTCTGACTTGTTAAGCAAATTCTTTTTTTTTTTTCTTTTTTTTTTCCGGGGGGAATGGATCAGCTTAATATTGCAGATAGATTGTATCTTCTATCAATGTAATTGTCTGCATCACTTCCAATCCCCCATGTTTATTTTTATTTTTTAGATATATATTCCCCTTTATTACTTTTCAACCCCACCATCCTTTCCCTACTTGGAGTAAATTAGTGAACAACAAAGCCCAGGCCTCTACTTCCGGTCTATACTTACTATCTACACCTTATGGACAGAGTTAATTTTACAAAAATTATATATATACAGTGGGGAAAAAAAGTATTTAGTCAGCCACCAATTGTGCAAGTTCTCCCACTTAAAAAGATGAGAGAGTCCTGTAATTTTCATCATAGGTACACGTCAACTATGACAGACATATTGAGAATTTTTTTTCCAGAAAATCACATTGTAGGATTTTTAATGAATTTATTTGCAAATTATGGTGGAAAATAAGTATTTGGTCACCTACAAACAAGCAAGATTTCTGGCTCTCACAGACCTGTAACTTCTTCTTTAAGAGGCTCCTCTGTCCTCCACTCGTTACCTGTATTAATGGCACCTGTTTGAACTTGTTATCAGTATAAAATACACCTGTCCACAACCTCAAACAGTCACACTCCAAACTCCACTATGGCCAAGACCAAAGAGCTGTCAAAGGACACCAGAAACAAAATTGTAGACCTGCACCAGGCTGGGAAGATTGAATCTGCAATAGGTAAGCAGCTTGGTTTGAAGAAATCAACTGTGGGAGCAATTATTAGGAAATGGAAGACATACAAGACCACTGATAATCTCCCTCGATCTGGGGCTCCACGCAAGATCTCACCCCGTGGTGTCAAAATGATCACAAGAACGGTGAGCAAAAATCCCAGAACCCCACGGGGGGGACCTAGTGAATGACCTGCAGAGAGCTGGGACCAAAGTAACAAAGCCTACCATCAGTAACACACTACGCCGCCAGGGACTCAAATCCTGCAGTGCTAGACGTGTCCCCCTGCTTAAGCCAGTACATATCCAGGCCCATCTGAAGTTTGCTAGAGTGCATCCAGAAGAGGATTGGGATAATGTCATATGGTCAGATGAAACCAAAATATAACTTTTTGGTAAAAACTCAACTTGCCGTGTTTGGAGGACAAAGAATGCTGAGTTGCATCCAAAGAACACCATACCTACTGTGAAGCATGGGAGTGAAAACTTCATACTTTGGGGCTGTTTTTCTGCAAAAGGACCAGGACGACTGATCCGTGTAAAGGAAAGAATGAATGGGGCCATGTATCGTGAGATTTTGAGTGAAAACCTTCCTCCATCAGCAAGGGCATTGAAGATGAAACGTGGCTGGGTCTTTCAGCATGACAATGATCCCAAACACACCGCCCGGGCAACGAAGGAGTGGCTTCGTAAGAAGCATTTCAAGGTCCTGGAGTCTCCAGATCTCAACCCCATAGAAAATCTTTGGAGGGAGTTGAAAGTCTGTGTTGCCCAGCGACAGCCCCAAAACATCACTGCTCTAGAGGAGATCTGCATGGAGGAATGGGCCAAAATACCAGCAACAGTGTGTGAAAACCTTGAAGACTTACAGAAAATGTTTGACCTGTGTCATTGCCAACAAAGGGTATATAACAAAGTATTGAGAAACTTTTGTTATTGACCAAATACTTATTTTCCACCATAATTTGCAAATAAATTCATAAAAAATCCTACAATGTGATTTTCTGGATTTTTTTTCCTCATTTTGTCTGTCATAGTTGACGTGTACCTATGATGAAAATTACAGGCCTCTCTCATCTTTTTAAGTGGGAGAACTTGCACAATTGGTGGCTGACTAAATACTTTTTTTCCCCACTGTATATATATATATATATATATATATATATATATACAGTGGGGAGAACAAGTATTTGATACACTGCCGATTTTGCAGGTTTTCCTACTTACAAAGCATGTAGAGGTCTGTCATTTTTATCATAGGTACACTTCAACTGTGAGAGACGGAATCTAAAACAAAAATCCAGAAAATCACATTGTATGATTTTTAAGTAATTAATTTGCATTTTATTGCATGACATAAGTATTTGATACATCAGAAAAGCAGAACTTAATATTTGGTACAGAAACCTTTGTTTGCAATTACAGAGATCATACGTTTCCTGTAGGTCTTGACCAGGATTGCACACACTGCAGCAGGGATTTTGGCCCACTCCTCCATACAGACCTTCTCCAGATCCTTCAGGTTTCGGGGCTGTCGCTGGGCAATACGGACATTCAGCTCCCTCCAAAGATTTTCTCTTGGGTTCAGGTCTGGAGACTGGCTAGGCCACTCCAGGACCTTGAGATGCTTCTTACGGAGCCACTCCTTAGTTGCCCTGGCTGTGTGTTTCGAGTCGTTGTCATGCTGGAAGACCCAGCCATGACCCATCTTCAATGCTCTTACTGAGGGAAGGAGGTTGTTGGCCAAGATCTCGCGATACATGGCCCCATCCATCCTCCCCTCAATACGTTGCAGTCGTCCTGTCCCCTTTGCAGAAAAGCATCCCCAAAGAATGATGTTTCCACATCCATGCTTCACGGTTGGGATGGTGTTCTTGGGGTTGTACTCATCCTTCTTCTTCCTCCAAACATGGCGAGTGGAGTTTAGACCAAAAAGCTCTATTTTTGTCTCATCAGACCACATGACCTTCTCCCATTCCTCCTCTGGATCATCCAGATGGTCATTGGCAAACTTCAGACGGGACAGGACATGCGCTGGCTTGAGCAGGGGGACCTTGCGTGCGCTGCAGGATTTTAATCCATGACGACGTAGTGTGTTACTAATGGTTTTCTTTGAGACTGTGGTCCCAGCTCTCTTCAGGTCATTGACCAGGTCCTGCCGTGTAGTTCTGGGCTGATCCCTCACCTTCCTCTTGATCATTGATGCCCCACGAGGTGAGATCTTGCATGGAGCCCCAGACCGAAGGTGATTGACCGTCATCTTGAAGTTCTTCCATTTTCTAATAATTGCGCCAACAGTTGTTGCCTTCTCACCAAGCTGCTTGCCTATTGTCCTGTAGCCCATCCCAGCCTTGTGCAGGTCTACAATTTTATCCCTGATGTCCTTACACAGCTCTCTTGTCTTGGCCATTGTGGAGAGGTTGGAGTCTGTTTGATTGAGTGTGTGGACAGGTGTCTTTTATACAGGTAACGAGTTCAAACAGGTGCAGTTAATACAGGTAATGAGTGGAGAACAGGAGGGCTTCTTAAAGAAAAACTAACAGGTCTGTGAGAGCTGGAATTCTTACTGGTTGGTAGGTGATCAAATACTTATGTCATGCAATAAAATGCAAATTAATTATTAAAAAATCATACAATGTGATTTTCTTGATTTTTGTTTTAGATTCCGTCTCTCACCGTTGAAGTGTACCTATGATAAAAATTACAGACCTCTACATGCTTTGTAAGTAGAAAAACCTGCAAAATCGGCAGTGTATCAAATACTTGTTCTCCCCACTGTATATATATATATATATATATATATTATTTATTTTTTTGCTCCTGAACTTCTTCTACTCTCAACCTCTCCGATCATTTTCATGATGTCCATCCGGTTTGCTTCTAAATTCCATATCTTTCTAACTGTGCTCTTTCCCAAAAGCTCCCAACATACAACCCATATACTTATTATGGACACAGTATGCTTACATTATTAGCTATCTATGTTATTATTTGTTGTTATTTGTTATTAGTCCCATCCTTCAACTCTATTCAATACCTCCCATCTATCTCTTAACACCATCCATATAGGATTTCTATTTGCCATATATTTCAACCGTACTGTGATGTTTTACAAAAGTTCTGAACCTTTCTATTCTCATTGCTTCTACAGATTGTGAATTAAAAATAAACATTTTGGCTAAAAGTATTATTATATTATTGATTGATTGACTATGACTTTTCAGATCACCCAGTAATGCTATCTGCAAGGTTAGTTCCAGGTAAATATTGCAATCCTTTAGCCATTCCTGGACCTGTGTCCAAAAACAAGCTACAAATGGACAGAACCAAAACAAATGATCTAATGATTCTGTCTCTTCACAGCAAAATCTGCAGAGCTGGGAAGATTGTATCCCCCATATAAATAACATTCTATTGGTAGCAAGAATTTTATATAATAATTTAAATTGAAAGATTCTAATTTTTGAATCCGGTGTCGTTTTGCGTGTCAGTTCATAAACACTATGCCATGGGATCGGTACGTCAAAGATCTCTTCCCAACTATTTTGCAATCTATATGGGACGGCTGTCAATCCTTTGGTCCTTAAGTGAAACTGATATACTTTTTTATTTATCACAGTTTTCCTTAACCAATTATGTTCTTTAATGCAAGGCCGACAGACAAGTTCCTTACTTTCTCCCCCTTCAACTTTCCTCTTCCACTTTTGCGGTAAGGCTGCAATTATTTGGTTGTAATTTTGGGTAGAGCAGACATTTCCATATGTTTTTGTTAGCTGCATGTGCGACATAACTCCACCAGTCCTACCGATGATATCATTTACGAAGATTATAACTTTTATAAACATTCTGTCAAAAAATAAAGGTTTTTTGTCAATTAGTATATTTGAATTTAACCACAATATTTGTTGCATTATTTTTAAGCAAATTCTTACTCCCGAAGGTATTTAGGCTTGCCATAACAAATGGGGTTGAATACTTATTGAATCAAGATATTTCAGCTTTTAATTTTCTATTCATTTATTAAAATTTCTAAAAAACATAATTCCACTGACATTATGGGGTAATATACGGAAGAGTATTAGCACCAAGTGAACAGAAAAAATAAATAAATGTTGATGGGCGGTGGTACTTCAATATTTTTTATTGTTACATGGATAGTACTTTAAAAAAGTGGCAATATTTCGAGAATAAAGAGGCAATATTTCGAGAAAAAGTCTCAATTTAATTTTGTGAATGAAGTGGCAATGTTTCGAGAATAAAGTGAGAATATTTAGAATAAACTCAATTAAATGTAACATTTTGAGAATAAAGTCACAGTTATATTTCAAGATTAAAATAAGGGATTTTGTTGACTCCCTGACTTCCTGTTGCTGTGTGTGCCACTGTTGAAATGCCTGCAGTTAGATAAATGGGTGAAACTATACTTTAGAATTTGCATTAGTAACAAGGAAATTATTTTTCTTTTAGCACATAATAACCATATTATTATACAGTTGAAGTCGGAAGTTTACATACACTTAGGTTGGAGTCATTAAAACTTGTTTTTCAACCACTCCACACATTTCTTGTTAACAAACTATAGTTTTGGCAAGTCGGTTAGGACATCTACTTTGTGCATTACACAAGTAATTTTTCCAACAATTGTTTACAGACAGATTATTTCACTTTTAATTCACTTTCTCACAATTCCAGTGGGTCAGACGTTTACATACACTAAGTTGACTGTGCTTTTAAACAGCTTGGAAAATTCCAGAAAATGATGTCATGGCTTTAGAAGCTTCTGATAGGCTAATTGACATCATTTGAGTCAATTGGAGGTTTACCTGTGGATGTATTTCAAGGCCTACCTTCAAACGCAGTGCCTCTATGCTTGACATCATGGGAAAATCACAAGAAATCAGCCAAGACCTCAGAAAAAAAATTGTAGACCTCCACAAGTCTGGTTCATGCTTGGGAGCAATTTCCGAATGCCTGAAGGTACCACGCTAATCTCTGCAAACAATAGTACGCAAGTAAAAACACCATGGGACCACGCAGCAATCATACCGCTCAGAAAGGAGAAGCGTTCTGTCTCCTAGAGATGAACGTACTTTGGTGCAAAAAGTGCAAATCAATCACAGAACAACAGCAAAGGACCTTGTGAAGATGCTGGAGGAAACAGGTACAAAAGTATCTATAACTGTAACACTCTGGCTCCGGGACTTTTGTATTTGAGCCAGGGTGTATTGTGTTTTGTTGGGTTTTGGGTGATTTTCTATGTTTGCATTTCTGTCACGTTTATTTCTAGGTTTGGTCATTGACTCCCAATCGGAGGTAACGAGTGTCAGCTGTCGGCTCGTTATCTCTGATTGGGAGCCATATTTATACTGCATGTTTTCCTGTGGGCATTGTGGGTTATTGTTCCTGTTTAGTCTTTGTCACTATTGGACTTCACATTCGTCGCTTTGATTTGTTGTTTTTGGTTGCTTTAAGTAATAAAGTCAACATGTTCTTTTCACTCGCTGCGCCTTGGTCTCCTTCACTCCTCGACGAGCGTGACAGAATAACCCACCAAAGAAAGACCAAGCAGCGTGTCCAGGAGCAGGGAGACTGGACATGGGAGGAGGCACCGGGCAAGGAGATAGAGAGGCTGGCGATGGCCCAGGTGGGCACATCGTGGTCCTGGGAGGACATGCTCGGAGGCAAGGGACCTTGGGGAAGGATCAAGGCCCTGGCGAGAGAGGAGCAACGGCGGCAGCAGGGCCATCGTCGGAGGGTCGTGTGTCAACCCCAGAAAATTTTTAGGGGGGGGCACACGGCATGGACGACGGGGCTGACGGAGGAGAAAAGGGGGAGTATCCAGGAGGCCACCAGGCCAGGGGTACACCGCCCTGTACGTCCTGTGCTGATGCCTCACACAGAGTGTGTGAGGGTAGGCATTCAGCCAGGACGGGTGGTGTCCGCTGTTCGCTCCAGGCCTCCTATCCGTCTCCACAACCCGGTCCGGCCTGTTCCTGCCACCCGCACCAGGTCTACAGTGTGCGTCGCCAGCCCGGTCCGGCCTGTTCCTGCCACCCGCACCAAGTCTACGGTGCGCGTCGCCAGCCCGGTCCGGCCTGTTCCTGCCACCCGCACCAAGACTACGGTGCGCGTCGCCAGCCCGACCCGGCCTGTTCCTGCCACCCGCACCAAGACTACGGTGCGCGTCGCCAGCCCGACCCGGCCTGTTCCTGCCACCCGCACCAAGACTACGGTGCGCGTCGCCAGCCCGGTCCGGTCTGTTCCGGCCACCCGCACCAAGACTACGGTGCGCGTCGCCAGCCCGACCCGGCCTGTTCCTGCCACCCGCACCAAGACTACGGTGCGCGTCGCCAGCCCGGTCCGGCCTGTTCCGGCCACCCGCACTAAGTCTACGGTGCGCCTCAGATGGCCAGAGTCTGCCGTCTGCCCAACGGGGCCTGAACTGCCCGTCTGCCTAAAGCCTGCAAAGCCGCCCGTCTGCCATGAGCCATCAGAGCCGTCCGCCAGACCAGAGCCGCTAGAGCCTTCCACCAGACAGGATCAGCCAGAGCCTTCCGCCAGACAGGATCAGCCAGAGCCTTCTGCCAGACAGGATCAGCCAGAGCCTTCTGCCAGACAGGATCAGCCAGAGCCTTCCGCCAGCCATGAGCAGCCAGATCCGTCGGCCAGCCATGAGCAGCCAGATCCGTCGGCCAGCCATGAGCCAGATCCGTCGGCCAGCCATGAGCAGCCAGATCCGTCAGCCAGCCATGAGCAGCCAGATCCGTCAGCCAGCCATGAGCAGCCAGATCCTTCAGCCTGCCATGAGCCGTCCAGCCAGGATCCGCCAGAGCCAGCCAGCCAGGATCCGCCCCTTAGTCAGGTACTGTCCCTTAGTCCGGTGCTGCCCCTTAGTCCGGTGCTGCCCCTTAGTCCGGTGCCGCCCCTTAATCCAGTGGGGTTTAATTGGGGGGTGGTCATGTGGAGGAGGCTAGGGAAGCGGGTGGTGACTAAGGTGGGGTGGGGACCACGACCAGGGCCAGAACCGCCACCGTGGACAGACGCCCACCCAGACCCTCCCCGAGACTGTATGCTGGTGCGCCCGGAGTGCGCACCTTTAGGGGGGGGTACTGTAACACTCTGGCTCCGGGACTTTTGTATTTGAGCCAGGGTGTATTGTGTTTTGTTGGGTTTTGGGTGATTTTCTATGTTTGCATTTCTGTCACGTTTATTTCTAGGTTTGGTCATTGACTCCCAATCGGAGGTAACGAGTGTCAGCTGTCGGCTCGTTATCTCTGATTGGGAGCCATATTTATACTGCATGTTTTCCTGTGGGCATTGTGGGTTATTGTTCCTGTTTAGTCTTTGTCACTATTGGACTTCACATTCGTCGCTTTGATTTGTTGTTTTTGGTTGCTTTAAGTAATAAAGTCAACATGTTCTTTTCACTCGCTGCGCCTTGGTCTCCTTCACTCCTCGACGAGCGTGACAATAACCACAGTAAAACAAGTCCTATATCAACATAACCTGAAAGGCCGCTCAGCAAGGAAAAAGCCACTGCTCCAAAACTACCATAAAAAAAGCCAGACTAAGGTTTGCAACTGCACATGGGGACAAAGATAATACTTTTTGGAGAAATGTCCTCTGGTCTGATGAAACAAAAATAGAACGGTTTGGCCATAATGACCACCGTTATGTTTGGAGGAAAAAGGATTGAACATGCAAGCCGAAGAACACCACCCCAACCGTGAACACGGGGGTGGCAGCATCACGCTGTGGGGGTGCTTTGCTGCAGGAGGGACTGGTGCACTTCACAAAATAGATGGCATCATGAGAAAGGAAAATTATGTTGAAGCAGCATCTCAAGACATCAGTCAGGATGTTAAAGCTTGGTCGGAAATGGGTCTTCCAAATGGACAATGACCCCAAGCATACCTCCAAAGTTGTGGCAAAATGGTTTAAGGACAACAAAGTCAAGGTATTGGAGTGGCCATCACAAATCCCTGACCTCAATCCTATAGAAAATGTGTGGGCAGAACTGAAAAAGTGTGTGTGAGCAAGGAGGCCTACAGACCTGACTCAATTACACCAGCTCTGTCAGGAGGAATGGGCCAAAATTCACCCAACTTATTGTGGGAAGCTTGTGGAAGGCTACCCGACACATTTGACCCAAGTTAAACACTTTAAAGACAATGCTACCAAATACTAATTGAGTGTATGTAAACTTCTGACCCACTAGGAATGTGATGAGAGAAATAAAAGCTGAAAGAAATCATTCTCTCTACTACAGTGGGGAGAACAAGTATTTGATACACTGCCAATTTTGCAGGTTTTCCTACTTACAAAGCATGTAGAGGTCTGTAATTTTATCATAGGTACACTTCAACTGTGAGAGATGGAATCTAAAACAAAAATCCAGAAAAATCACATTGTATGATTTTTAAGTAATTAATTTGCATTTATTGCATGACATAAGTATTTGATACATCAGAAAAGCAGAACTTAATATTTGGTACAGAAACCTTTGTTTGTAATTACAGAGATCATACGTTTCCTGTAGGTCTTGACCAGGTTTGCACATACTGCAGCAGGGATTTTGACCCACTCCTCCATACAGACCTTCTCCAGATCCTTCAGGTTTCGGGGCTGTCGCAGGGCAATACGGACTTTCAGCTCCCTCCAAAGATTTTCTATCGGGTTCAGGTCTGGAGACTGGCTAGGCCACTCCAGGACCTTGAGATGCTTCTTACGGAGCCACTCCTTAGTTGCCCTGGCTGTGTGTTTCAGCTCGTTGTCATGCTGGAAGACCCAGCCACGACCCATCTTCAATGCTCTTACTGAGGGAAGGAGGTTGTTGGCCAAGATCTCGCGATACATGGCCCCATCCATCCTCCCCTCAATACGGTGCAGTCGTCCTGTCCCCTTTCCAGAAAAGCATCCCCAAAGAATGATGTTTCCACCTCCATGCTTCACGGTTGGGATGGTGTTCTTGGGGTTGTTCTCATCCTTCTTCTTCCTCCAAACACAGCGAGTGGAGTTTAGACCAAAAAGCTCTATTTTTGTCTCATCAGACCACATGACCTTCTCCCATTCCTCCTCTGGATCATCCAGATGGTCATTGGCAAACTTCAGACGGGCCTGGACATGCGCTGGCTTGAGCAGGGGGACCTTGCGTGCGCTGCAGGATTTTAATCCATGACGGCGTAGTGTGTTACTAATGGTTTTCTTTGAGACTGTGATCCCAGCTCTCTTCAGGTCATTGACCAGGTCCTGCCGTGTAGTTCTGGGCTGATCCCTCACCTTCCTCATGATCATTGATGCCCCACGAGGTGAGATCTTGCATGGAGCCCCAGACCGAGGGTGATTGACCGTCATCTTGAACTTCTTCCATTTTCTAATAATTACGCCAACAGTTGTTGCCTTCTCACCAAGCTGCTTGCCTATTGTCCTGTAGCCCATCCCAGCCTTGTGCAGGTCTACAATTGTATCCCTGATGTCCTTACACAGCTCTCTGGTCTTGGCCATTGTGGAGAGGTTGGAGTCTGTTTGATTGAGTTTGTGAACAGGTGTCTTTTATACAGGTAACGAGTTTAAACAGGTGCAGTTAATACAGGTAATGAGTGGAGAACAGGAGGGCTTCTTAAAGAAAAACTAACAGGTCTGTGAGAGCCGGAATTCTTAATGGTTGGTAGGTGATCAAATACTTATTTCATGCAATAAAATGCAAATTAATTACTTAAAAATCATACAATGTGATTTTCTGGATTTTTGTTTTAGATTCCGTTTCTCACAGTTGAAGTGTACCTATTATAAAAATTACAGACCTCTACATGCTTTGTAAGTAGGAAAACCTGCAAAATCGGCAGTGTATCAAATACTTGTTCTCCCCACTGTATTATTCTGACATTTCACATTCTTAAAATAAAGTGGTGATCCTAACTGACCTAAGACAGGGCATTTTTACTATGATTAAATGCCAGGAATTGTGAAAACTGAGTTCAAATGTATTTGGCTAAGGTGTGTGTAAACTTCAGACTTCAACTGTAGATATTGTAGTTTCAAATACATGCAACTTAAAAGTTACATATCAGGACATTTTGATTCCAAATCTTTTGGACATCAGAGCAATCAGCAATCTTGAGGGAATTTTATTTGAGTCAGACAATGATGTTCCTATGATAGGAAAGATCTACAAAACCTTGCAAAGAGCATATCCAAACTGACAATCGCTTAGAAAAAATATAAACTATTGGACCCATTGAAAAAATTATACTAATAACTTGGAAGTCAATCCGCCATCATTAACACAATGGAAACATCTAATGATTTATTATTGAAATAGAATGGGTGACTGAGAAAAACAAATTGGTACAATTTAAGACCAAGTGGCAAACAATAATGCAGGCACTAGGCATGGAGGTGTGAGCAGACGGGTCTGGGCAGATGAGATGTGTAGTCATTGTTTGTGTGTGTTTTTGAGTTGTCGTTATACATTTGTTTTAGTTTTTTGGAATGTGAAAAAAGTAATTAAATAATTTGTCAGGCTCCTTTTGCATTCTCTTAAGTGGTGAGCATTTACCCAATTGTCTTAAAATCTTATGTGTTCCGTTTTCCCTTTTATTCCCCTAAGTGTTTAGGAGAAAGCAGAGGTGTGCAAACATGTCACGGAGGGTAACAACAGTGATGCCTTTATTACTGTTATCGGCTGCAGGTATAAAACATTGCGGGGACGTCTCTGACATAGAGAAGCCCTACCTGGCTTGCAGGAGCAACATTTGGGGTGGAAAACTGGGAAATGTGTAAGCGGAGGGATGGTAATCTTGCAGCTTCTTCATGAGATTCATGGGAGGCTTTGTAAGGGGAATGTATTCAGGGCGGCAGACAAGCCTAATCCAAAGGTTTCTGCTGAGGCTGTGGACTTGTCTCCTTTCAACGGGTGAAAACATTGGGTCCATTCTTGCGAACATAAGCAACCATTTAAATTTAAACAGTTTCTCTGGCACAAAATACTTATCAGCCAATTAAAATCTTGGATTTACTTACATTTGACAGAATGCTAAATTGTAGCTGGTTCCTTCAGATAACATGACACATGTTAGCCCTATGCTAAGCTCAACAGTTGGCACTGATTCTATCCTGGAAAAAACTCTTCATTAGCCTATCAAATATCTTAGACTTTATATCCACCAACTAGGGCTAGGTGGTATACCGTATTTTACTATATGGATGCACAGACCGGTTTGGATTTTAACTTTACCTTCTATAACGGTATTTCAACTGGTTGGTTTGGTAAATATGATACGCCACTCCGTCTGTTTTGATAGTTTACGCCATTTTCTACTTGAGTTGTATCTCTCCTTGTTTCCAATTTAGATACTTTTATTGGTAAAAGAGGCTAGCGACAAATTCAGCTTTGGGGAGTTTTGCCAGCGAGAGTTTCTATGGTTTTGATAGTATTTAGTGATTTTCCCACTCAATTCAGCCGCAAACAAGAGTGGAGAAGCAACAGAAGTCAAAGCAACTGCGCACACACAGGCAGAGAAGTACAAGAGGAGAGGGTGTGTGGCAGGAGAGGGGGAAAAATTTAATCTAGTGACAAATCAAGGAGCCAATAGCGATTATCACTGAAAAATAGTTGCCAACACTGGTCTCGCTCTCTCTCCTCCTGCTTGCCATGCCGTTCACTCTGTCTGTGTGGTCAGATGCAACAAGATGATGGTGACAACGATGTTGACTTCCACTTAGCTTCTTAAAATAAATCCACAAGTGTTATATAATTACACTATTAGTTTGTGTATCTTACTGCCTGCAAACTGCCAGTTTGTATTTTCTTAGCAAGTTGTGGCTAAAATAAATTGTGTTAGCCACTAATGCAATCACTAGTTATCTGGCTAGCTAAATAGCTAAATGTACTCAGAGTCAGTGAAAACTTAGCTAGCTAATACTGCCTGTTGGGACTGAGGTACAGTGGCTTGCGAAAGTATTCACCCTCTTTGGCGTTTATCCTATTTCTTTGCCTTACAACCTGGAATTAAAATGTATTGATTTACACAATATGCCTACCCCTTTGAAGATGCAAAATATTTTTTATTGTGAAACAAACAAGAAATAAGACAAAAAAAAACGTGCATAACTATTCACCCCCCGAAAGTCAAGACTTTGTAGAGCCACCTTTTGCAGCAATTACAGCTGCAAGTCTCTTGGGGTATGTCTCTATAAGCTTGGCACATCTAGCCACTGGGATTTTTGCCCATTCTTCAAGGCAAAACTGATCCAGCTCCTTCAAGTTGGATGGGTTCCGCTGGTGTACAGCAATCTTTGTCATACCACATATTCTCAATTGGATTGAGGTCTGGGCTTTGACTAGGCCATTCCAAGACATTTAAATGTTTCCCCTTAAACCACTCAAGTGTTGCTTTAGCAGTATGCTTAGGGTCAATGTCCTGCTGGAAGGTGAACCTCCGTCCCAGTCTCAAATCTCTGGAAGACTGAAAGAGGTTTCCCTCAAGAATTTTCCTGTATTTAGCGCCATCCATCATTCCTTCAATTCTGACCAGTTTCCCAGTCCCTGCCAATGAAAAACATCCCCACAGCATGATACTGCCACCACCATGCTGGATGGTGTTCTCGGGGTGATGAGAGGTGTTGGGTTTGCGCCAGACATAGCGTTTTCCTTCATGGCCAAAAAGCTCAATTTTAGTCTCATCTGACCAGAGTACCTTCTTCCATATGTTTGGGGAGTCTCCCACATGCCTTTTGCTTATTTTTTTCTTTAAGCAATGCCTTTTTTCTGGCCACTCTTCCGTAAAGCCCAGCTCTGTGGAGTGTACGGCTTAAAGTGGTCCTTTGACAGATACTCCAATCTCCGCTGTGGAGCTTTGCAGCTCCTTCAGGGTTATTTTTGGTCTCTTTGTTGCCTCTCTGACTAATGCCCTCCTTGCCTGGTCTGTGAGTTTTGGGGGGCGGCCCTCTCTTGGCAGGTTTGTTGTGGTGCCATATTCTTTCAATTTTTTTATAATGGATTTAATGGTGCTCCGTGGGATGTTCAAAGTTTCTGATATTTTTTTATAACCCAACCCGGATATGAACTTCTCCACAACTTTATCCCTGACCTGTTTGGAGAGCTCCTTGGTCTTCATGGTGCCGCTTGCTTGGTGGTGCCCCTTGCTTAGTGGTGTTGCAGACTCTGGGGCCTTTCAGAACAGGTATATATATATATATACTGAGATCATGTGGCAGATCATGTGACACTTAGATTGCACACAGGTGGACTTTATTTAACTAATTATGTGACTTCTGAAGGTAATTGGTTGCACCAGATCTTATTTAGGGGCTTCATAGCAAAGGGGGTGAATACATTTGCACGCACCACTGTCCATTATAACTTTTTTTGAAATAAGTAATTTTTTCATTTCACTTCACCAATTTGGACTATTTTGTGTATGTCCATTACATGAAATCCAAATAAAAATCAATTTAAATTACAAGTTCTAATGCAACAAAATAGGAAAAATGCCAAGGGGGATGAATACTTTTGCAAGGCAATGTATGTTAAACCCCCACACCATCAGAAATCCACTTCTTAAAACTGATGACCAGAGTTTCCCATGATGTTGTACAATGATTTACATCAATAGGTCATCATTTTTGTCAAAGTATGATATATTTGGCCTTGAAGTGGGAAGTCCTATGCTTTGTTTCAGGGCTGGGTTTCATTTGAATGTTACCACCCACAAGCATGGCATTTTGTATTAATCGGAAACAGCCTCAAAGTTCTTCCTCTTTGCGTTCACAACTGAGCTGAACCAAACAGCCTTTCGTCCACTTGGCCGTCTGAGCCATGGACCAAATTAAAATACTTTTTCACCTGAAAATTATCATAATCCGTTGGATAATTTGTACATTTTCACTTATCTTTGAATTAGTCTGTATTAAAAATATATATCTGACCATTTTATAAATTGTATAAATAAATGCGTGATATGTTTGCATTTCTTTCCTGGTTCGTTTGTGACAGAAACAGAACGTTTTGAGTGCATAGTGGTGGTGAATTGGAGTGGTACATTGTGTGAATTCTCAACCGCCCCAACTGAATTAGAGGGAGGAAAGCAGACAGAGAGGCTTTGAACAAAGGACGAGTGAGGTTTCTGATTTCTTGGATGGCAATTTTCTGGTAAAGAAAACGTGCGTGAAATGCAGAGAGAAATTCTAATGTCTCACACACAGTGTGTTTGCGTATCACGTTTATATAGAAACAATTATGTTGTCAGCGCTTTGTTTGAAATACCTCCGTATTAAAACGCTAAGACAGAATTCTCTAAATGGCCCATCGTGCTTCAAATAACTCGGGCAGGGGAGTGCAAAAAAAAAGGAAACATTAATTTGTGTAAAATGGGCCACTTATCTTTTGTGCCAGACTCATTTGTCTGATCAAACACACTGTGGGGTCTTAGCTGTCCCTTTAAGACCACACAGTCAGATTCTTAAGGAGATACCCAAGCCCAATATTTAACAGGCAGTCAATTAAAGTCAATGAACTCCATAATAAGACTGTTCTTACCTGTTTTAATTAACAAACGGTCAACTCTTTCAACCAGTGTCATGAAATATGAAAAGCAGAAAAGGTTATTTGATTTACCTTCAAACCTAATGTGTGCTTAAGCCCAGGGGTTTTCAAACTTTTCTTGCCCAGGGACCCCCACCCAGGCAAACTGGCGACCCAGTGACCCCCATCATATGTCAGCAAAAAGAAAGTTGCGTCTTGTCTTAGCATCAGGTGAATGATAATGGCAAGTATACAGTGAGGGAATTAAGTATTTGATCCCCTGCTGATTTTGTACGTTTGCCCCCTGACAAAGACATGATCAGTCTATAATTTTAATGGTAGGTTTATTTGAACAGTGAGAGACAGAATAACAACAAAAACATCCAGAAAAACGCATGTCAAAAATGTTATAAATTGATTTGCATTTTAATGAGGGAAATAAGTATTTGACCCCCTCTCAATCAGAAAGATTTCTGGCTCCCAGGTGTCTTTTATACAGGTAACGAGCTGAGATTAGGAGCACACTCTTAAAGGGAGACACCTGTCCACAGAAGCAGTTAATCAATCAGATTCCAAACTCTCCACCATGGCCAAGACCAAAGAGCTCTCCAAGGATGTCAGCGACAAGATTGTAGACCTACACAAGGCTGGAATGGGCTACAAGACCATTGCCAAGCAGCTTGGTGAGAAGGTAACAACAGTTGGTGCGATTATTTGCAAATGGAAGAAACACAAAATAACTCTCAATCTCCCTCGGCCTGGGGCTCCATGCAAGATCTCACCTCGTGGAGTTGCAATGATCATGAGAACGGTGAGGAATCAGCCCAGAACTACACGGGAGGATCTTGTCAATGATCTCAAGGCAGCTGGGACCATAGTCACCAAGTAAACAATTGGTAACACACTACGCCGTGAAGGACTGAAATCCTGCAGCACCCGCAAGGTCCCCCTGCTCAAGAAAGCACATACAGTGGGGGAAAAAAGTATTTAGTCAGCCACCAATTGTGCAAGTTCTCCCACTTAAAAAGATGAGAGGCCTGTAATTTTCATCATAGGTACACGTCAACTATGACAGACAAATTGAGGAAAAAAAATCCAGAAAATCACATTGTAGGATTTTTAATGAATTTATTTGCAAATTATGGTGGAAAATAAGTATTTGGTCACCTACAAACAAGCAAGATTTCTGGCTCTCACAGACCTGTAACTTCTTCTTTAAGAGGCTCCTCTGTCCTCCACTCGTTACCTGTATTAATGGCACCTGTTTGAACTTGTTATCAGTATAAAAGAAACCTGTCCACAACCTCAAACAGTCACACTCCAAACTCCACTATGGCCAAGACCAAAGAGCTGTCAAAGGACACCAGAAACAAAATTGTAGACCTGCACCAGGCTGGGAAAACTGAATCTGCAATAGGTAAGCAACTTGGTTTGAAGAAATCCACTGTGGGAGCAATTATTAGGAAATGGAAGACATACAAGACCACTGATAATCTCCCTCGATCTGGGGCTCCACGCAAGATCTCACCCTGTGGGGTCAAAATGATCCAGAAGAGGATTGGGAGAATGTCATATGTTCAGATGAAACCAAAATAGAACTTTTTGGTAAAAACTCAACTCGTCGTGTTCGGAAGACAAAGAATGCTGAGTTGCATCCAAAGAACACCATACCTACTGTGAAGCATGGGGGTGGAAACATCATGCTTTGGGGCTGTTTTTCTGCAAAGGGACCAGGACGACTGATCCGTGTAAATGAAAGAATGAATGGGGCCATATATCGTGAGATTTTGGGTGAAAACCTCCTTCCATCAGCAAGGGCATTGAAGATGAAACGTGGCTAGGTCTTTCAGCATGACAATGATCCCAAACACACCGCCCGGGCAACGAAGGAGTGGCTTTGTAAGAAGCATTTCAAGGTCCTGGAGTGGCCTAGCCAGTCTCCAGATCTCAACCCCATAGAAAATCTTTGGAGTGAGTTGAAAGTCCGTGTTGCACAACGACAGCCCCAAAACATCACTGCTCTAGAGGAGATCTGCATGGAGGAATGGTCCAAATACCAGCAACAGTGTGTGAAAACCTTGTGAAGACTTACAGAAAACATTTGACCTGTGTCATTGCCAACAAAGGGTATATAACAAAGTATTGAGAAACTTTTGTTATTGACCAAATACTTATTTTCCACCATAATTTGCAAATAAATGTATTAAAAAATCCTACAATGTGATTTTCTGGAGAAAAAAAATCTCATTTTGTCTGTCATAGTTGACGTGTACCTATGATGAAAATTACAGGCCTCTCATCTTTTTAAGTGGGAGAACTTGCACAATTGGTGGCTGACTAAATACTTTTTTTCCCCACTGTATACAGGCCCGTCTGATGTTTGCCAATGAACATCTGAATGATTCAGAGGAGAACTGGGTGAAAGTGTTGTTGTCAGATGAGACCAAAATCGAGCTCTTTGGCATCAACTCAACTCCCGTGTTTGGAGGAGGAGGAATGCGGCCTATGACCCCAAGAACACCATCCCCACCGTCAAATATGGAGGTGGAAACATTATGCTTTGGGGGTGTTTTTCTGCTAAGGGGACAGGACAACTTCACCGCATCAAAGGGACGATGGACGGGGCCATGTACCGTCAAATCTTGGGTGAGAACCTCCTTCCCTCAGCCAGGGCATTGAAAATGGGTCGTGGATGAGTATTCCAGCATGATAATGACCCAAAACACACAACGCCAAGGCAACAAAGGAGTGGCTCAAGAAGAAGCACATTAAGGTCCTGGAGTGGCCTAGCCAGTCTCCAGACCTTAATCCCATAGAAAATCTGTGGAGGGAGCTGAAGGTTCGAGTTGCCAAATATCAGCCTCGAAACCTTAATGACTTGGAGAAGATCTGCAAAGAGGAGTGGGACAAAATCCCTCCTGAGATGTGTGTAAACCTGGTGGTCAACTACAAGAAACATCTGACCTCTGTAATTGCCAACAAGGGTTTTGCCACCAAGTACTAAATCATGTTTTGCAGAGGGGTCAAATACTTATTTCCCTCATTAAAATGCAAATCAATTTTAACATTTCTGACATGCGTTTTTCTGGATTTTTTTGTTGTTATTCTGTCTCTCACTGTTCAAGTAAACCTACCATTAAAATTATGGACTGATCATGTCTTTGTCAGTGGGCAAACGTACAAAATCAGCAGGGGATCAAATACTTAATTCCCTCACTGTACTTAATCAAAATGAATAGATTTGGTAGACAGTTTCATTATTTTGACCTCCCCACAGTTCATTGGAAGAGGAAGTGTAAACTCTAACATAGCCTATTAGTTAGAAAGATATCTTGACGGCGGAGAGAACATGTTTCTGTTGTAAACTTAATAATTCTACACATTTCCATTGAATTGAGATACCTTTTTTTTGTTTTTAAAAGGAATTTCCAGCAATTCTACACAGTTTGGCATGGAGCTGAGAGACAACATGGGAGTTTTAAAGCACATTTTCTGCAACTCTATGCACTGTATATACTGTAGTTCAATATCTTTTTTGTATGCTTTCTATCTGGTTTTGGTCATTTAAGTTGACACTGAAACTGTTTTCCATCTCAAATATTACCATAGACGGCCCGCCTAAGATTTTTCTAAACAGACAAAACCCTGTCATTAGCTCGACTGACTGTAATTTTCTCCATATTAAAGGTTTTGGCAATGAAGCCATTTATCTACTTCCCCAGAGTCAAATGAACAGGAACAGCTAGCATGCAAACTGTTCCTGTAGACTTCCAGTCATTGCGCTAATGCTAGTTAGCGTTGGCTCGTGAAACTACCTCTAACTTCCTTCATACTGGACGCAGAGACATAAACATGGTATTCATGATGGTATTCTGTTGTAGCTAGCGGTCTTCATAATATAACTATTTTTCACATAACAAAATCCCTATAAGTATTTTTGTAAATGAAATTCATTAATTGCGGACCCCCTGCAGTACCTCACCACGTACCCCACTTTGAAAACCCCTGCCTTAGCCTACGGACTATGTCAATATTTAATTATAAGACAAAATTACCAAATATTCACAGTATTAGTCTTTCCGCCTCACCAAGGTCATTAAGTTATGCAATACCCTGTGCCAGTGATGTGTTCCTACATCATACTTCCGTGTTCATTTCCCTTTTCTTTTGAATCGTGTTTAAATCATCAAATTCATGAAACCACGGTCATATAAGATATTAATTCTACTTCTACCAGACGCCTTTTATTACGTTATTTCACTGAAGACCATTGCAATGTTTTTGCCCATTGAAGACCATTCAAAAAGCTTACAAAATTCAAAAACTACAAAATTACTTTCCACATCAAAGAACTGAATACCATTAACTGAAAAATGAATCTTTTGACATTGTATTTTATTTGCACAGAGAAAGAGAAAGAGATGAAGGGGAGATAGAGAGAGGGGTTGAGTAAAGAGTGAGAGGGCATGGATGGAGAGAAATAAATAAAGGGTTGTGATAGAGTGAGAGAGACGGGGTGAGGAAGAGATGTATATAGAGAGAGACAGTGAGAGAGATTCAGACAGCGAGAGAGAGAGGGCGAGAGAAAGTCAGAGACGGTGTGTGTGAGAATGGATTGTGTAAGAGAGAGAGAGAGGTGATTTAACTTGGCCATTTACAGTTAGATGATTTGCCAAGATAATTGTCACTGGGGTGACTACACTCCCCACTCTGAAGTCCTTTTAGGCGACCCATTTCAGCGAGAGTTGAAGACTGAAAATAGAATGAAATAGACTAATTTAGGGCCATTTCAGCCAAATTGGATGAAAGTTGCGGTGCACAAAAGTTGCCTCTGCGTGTAAAGCCTCAGCAGATGAAAATTAGCATATTGCTCATATTCTAGAGCCAGAACTAATTACCATCGCAATGTTTCAGTTTTGCCTTTAAAACTTGGGCTGCATCTCCAGTGCCACCCTATTCCTTATTTAGTGCACTACTTTTGACTAGGGCCCATAGGGCTCTGGTCAAAAGAAGTGCACTAAAGGGAATAGGGTGCCATTGGGAACGCAGCCTTGTTCATGAAGCGAACAACTGTTTAAAAAAGAAATCAGCAGTATGATGGCGAGGACTTTCAGGATGATAAATAGTTAATAATTGTATTTAAATCAGAGCAATTAAATAAGTGATACTCATCCGATTGAATTTCACTGAGAACGCCATGGCGTGAGTATTCATGTTACTTACAAATTAAGCAATTCTTAACCCTATTGGCTAACTAACAAGACTGCAAATAAACGAATTGGGTTACATTAGGAAATAACTGTGAGTTGTCGAACCTCATCGCACAGGTAAGACAGGCAATATCAATCACAACGGAAATATTATTAAGAAATCGAATATCCAACAATAGGCCTACCACACACCGGTTCTGAACAGTGGATTGAGCATGCCTATAGTTTGTGTGATAACAGTGTCGTGAACATATCAAACATATTGCGTTACATCAAAAGCCTGCATCAGTGTTCTGTTCATTAGGCACCAAACGGAAGAATACAGACTTTAAGAAAACTAAAATAAACACTTTTTTATGAAAACATTTTCCATTGTGTCCCCTAATGAACACCATACAGATGTATGTGCGGACACTGAAGCTCTCCCCTCACCTGATAGGAGTTGGGCCAGAAGGTGCTGATGGCCAGCTCGGTCTTGACCCAGCCCTCGGTCACAGAGGCGGAGGCGTTCCACACAGGGTTTCCCTGGGAGCCGCCGTTCACCTTGATGTAGACGTTGAGCGCCCCGGGACTGGAGCCGTCACGGCTGGACAGAGAGTAGTGGAAGTCGATGCAGTGGGTGTCGTTCTCCTTCAGGGTAGGCAGGAGCAGGTGGGCCTTCTGTCCCGACGCCCGGCCCGAGCCGTTCACCACCATGAAAGAACCTATCAGGGACGAGAAAGAACCAAGAAGTGAGCTGAGGCAAGGAAGAGGAGTCTTTCTGGCCTAGAACAGAACGATTTGTTGTCTACCAGATCTGGGATCAAATGTTATTTGTATTCTTTCAAATACAGTGGCAAATACAGTAACTATTCACCCCATTTTTGCAGATCCTTCAGGGTTATCTTTGTTGTCTTTGTTGCCTCTCTGATTAATGCCCTTCTTGCCTGGACCGTGGGTTTTGATGGGCGGCCCGCTCTTGGCAGGTTTGTTGTGTTACCATATTCTTTCCATTTTTTAATAATGGATTTAATGGTGCTCCGTGGGATGTTCAAAGTTTCTGATATTTTTTTATAACCCAACCCGGATCTGTACTTCTCCACAACTTTGTCCCTGACCTGTTTGGAGAGCTCCTTGGTCTTCATGGTGGCGCTTGCTTGGTGGTGCCCCTTGCTTAGTGGTGTTGCAGACTCTGGGGCCTTTCAGAACAGGTGTGTATATACTGAGATCATGTGACAGATCATGTGACACTTAGATTGTACACAGGTCGACTTTATTTAACTAATTATGTGACTTCTGAAGGTAATTGGTTGCACCAGATCTTATTTAGGGGCTTCATAGCAAAGGGGGTGAATACATATGCACACACCACTTTTCTGTAATATTTTTTATATACTTTTTTAAACAAGTTATTTGTTTCATTTCACTACACCAATTTGGACTATTTTGTTTATGTCCATTATATGAAATCCAAATAAAAATAATTTTAATTACAGGTTGTAATGCAACAAAGTAGGAAAAACGCCAAGGGGAATTAATACTTTTGCAAGTCACTGTACTTGAGCTGCACTTGACAGTGTGGAGCTCAAAGTTAAAGCCCCACCCCTCTGGCACTCCAGGCAGGCTCAATCAAACACTCAAATGTATTTTAAAGAAAACACATACTATTTGAACCCTCTATTTGAACCCAGACTCATGAAGTCTGAGGAATGTCTTGTACTATATAATATTGTTGAAATCTGCAGGGAGAGAAGAAAGAGAAAGCAAGAGAGCAGAGAGATGGATCGAAACCAAAAGTAGTGTAAAATGGTGAGATTTAGACAGGAAGAGGGATGAATAGGTGTGAGAGGACGTGCTGCTGGAATAACAAAGAATATATTGAGGTGACACATATTCTCTGGGACGTTGCTTTGATAACTGAACATCAAGCAAGGCAAATGTAAACATTCTGGCAATATTCTGTCTCATGTGCCTTCCAATATAATTTTTATTATTTCACCTTTATTAAACCAGGTAAGCCAGTTGAGAACAAGTTCTCATTTACAACTGCGACCTGGCCAAGATAAAGCAAAGCAGTGCGATAAAAACAACAACACAGAGTTACATATGGGGTAAACAAAACATAAAGTCAAAAATACAACAGAAGTAAGTTATGGAGGTAAGGCAATAAATAGGCCATAGTGCAAAATAGTTACAATTTCGTATTAACACTGGAATGATAGATGTGCAAAAGATGATGTGCAAATAGAGATACTGGGGTGCAAATTAGCAAAATAAATAACAATATGGGGATGAGATAGTTGGGTGGGCTAATTTCAGAATGGCTGTGTACAGGTGCAGTGATCGGTAAGCTGCTCTGACAACTTATGCTTAAAGTTAGTGAGGGAGATAAAAGTCTCCAGCTTCAGAGATGTTTTGCAGTTCGTTCCAGTCACTGGCAGCAGAGAACTGGAAGGAATGGCGGCCAAAGGAGGTGTTGGCTTTGGGGATGACCAGTGAGATATACCTGCTGGAACGCATACTACGGGTTGGTGTTGCTATGGTGACCAATGATCTAAGATAAGGCAGGGATTTGCCTAGAAGTGATTTATAGATGACCTGGAGCCAATGGCTTTGGCGACGAATATGTAGTGAGGGTCAGCCAATGAGAGTTTACAGGTCACAATGGTGTGTAGTATATGGGGCTTTGGTGACAAAACGGATGGCACTGTGATAGACTACATCCAATTTGCTATTGGTTCCTGACTTCCCTGAAAGGTTGTATATCGCGGGGGCTGTTCCATGCTAATGCAGTACGCCACAGGATGTTTTTGTGCTGGTCAAGAGCAGTCATGTCTGAGGAGAACCAGGGGCTATATCTGTTCTTAGTTCTGAATTTTTTGAATGGGGCATGCTTATTTAAGATTGAGAGGAAAGCACTTTTAAAGAACAACCAGGCATCCTCTACTGGCGGAATGTGGTCAATATCCATCCAGGATACCCGGGCCAGGTCAATTAGAAAGGCCTGCTCGCTAAAGTGTTTTAGGGAGCGTTTGACAGTGATGAGGGGTGGTCGTTTGACCGCGGACCCATTACGGACGCAGACAATAAGACAGTGATCGCTGAGATCCTGGTTGAAAACAGCGGAGGTGTATTTAGAGGGTAAATTTGTCAGGATGATATCTATGAGGGTGCCCATGTTTACAGATTTAGGGTTGTACCTGGTAGGTTCGTTGATAATTTGTGTGAGATTGAGGGCATATAGTTTAGATTGTAGGTTGGCCGGGGTGTTAAGCATATCCCAGTTTAGGTCACCAAGCAGTACGAATTTTGAGGATAGATGGGGGGCAATCAGTTCACATATGATGTCCAAGGCACAGCTCAGGGCTGAGGGGGGTCTGTAGCAAGCGGCAACAGTGAGAGATTTATTTCTGGAAAGGTGGATTTTTTGAAGTAGAAGCTCAAACTGTTTGGGCACAGACCTGGATAGTACGATAGAGCTCTGCAGGCTCTCTCTAAAGTAGATTGCAACCCCACCCCCTTTGGCAGTTCTATCGAGACGGACATTTCTGAATTTTTGGTGGCCTTCCTAAGCCAGGATTCAGACACTGCTAGAACATCAAGGTTGGCGGAGTGTGCTAATGCAGTGAATAACTCAAACTTAGGGAGGAGGCTTCGGATGTTAACGTGCAAGAAACCAAGGCTTTTACGGTTACAGAAGTCAACAAATGATAATGCCTGGGGAGTAGGAGTGATACTGGGGGCTACAGGGCCTGGGTTAACCTCTACATCACCAGAGGAAAAGAGGAGAAGTAGAATAAGGATACGGCTAAAGGCTTTAAGTACTGGTCTTCTAGTGCGTTGGGTACAGAGAAAAAAAGGGGCAGATTTCCGGGCGTTGTAGAATAGATTCAGGGCATTATGTACAGACAAGGATATGGAAGGATATGAGTACAGTGTAGGTAAACCTAAGTGTTGGGTAACGATGAAAGAGATAGCATCACTGGAGGCACCGATTGAGTCGGTCTCCACGTGTATGGGGGGTGGGACAAAGGAGCTATCTAAGGTAGGCTGAGCTGGGCTGGGGGATCTACAGTGAAATAGTACAATAAGAAATAACCGAAACAGCAATAAGCAAGGCATATTGACATGGGAGAGAGGCATAAAGCAATCACAGGTGTTATTCGAGATAGCTAAGACAACAGCTGGTAATGGCGAAAAAGTTTGGAATGAGGCTAAACATAAACAGGATGTGGTACCGTATAAAGGAACAGTCCAGCAGGCATCTGCTGTATAGCTGAGTTATCATAAGGTCCGGTGAACAGCAATAGGAGAGTTCGGAGGTAAGGATGAGGGCTGCTACAGCACTGGCGAGCAAGAGGCCACGGCTTGCATGTGCTAGCGGGCCGGGGCTAGCAGATGGATCTTCGTGGTCGATGTCGTAACGGGAAGCCTGTTGAAACCACAACAGACGATTTTGTCAGCAGACCAGTCGTGTTGGATCGGCGGGGCTCTGTGTCAACACTAGGAGGTCCCGTCCGGTTGACAGAGAGGTAGATAGCCGGGAGATGGGCCTGGCTCGAGGCTAGCTCAAGGCTGATTAGCCAAACACAACATCCATTTGGTTGCAGCTAGCTAGTTGCGATAATCCGGTGTTAGATGTCCAGTGATTCAGTGAAGCACATCAATGGGTTATGCACAAAGGAGATACAGTATCAATCATCCCAACCTTGGGTCCGGAATCAAGCCAATCAATTCAGAGTGGTGATCCAATCTAGCGGAGACCCTAACCAGGGCATGGCTGGTGAACTAGGCTGATTAAATGTCTTATTCTCCTCAGCTACCGCCATTTTACATCAGCACTCTCGCCAACCCCATCTTGCCAACACACTGACTCACACACATACACACAAATTGACTCACACATTCACACACACTGGCTCAAGTGTACACACACATACAGTGGGGAGAACAAGTATTTGATACACTGCCGATTCTGCAGGTTTTCCTACTTACAAAGCATGTAGAGGTCTGTCATTTTTATTATAGGTACACTTCAACTGTGAGAGACGGAATCTAAAACAAAAATCCAGAAAATCAAATTGTATGATTTTTAAGTAATTCATTTGCATTTTATTGCATGACATAAGTATTTGATACATCAGAAAAGCAGAACTTAATATTTGGTACAGAAACCTTTGTTTACAATTACAGAGATCATACGTTTCCTGTAGGTCTTGACCAGGTTTGCACACACTGCAGCAGGGATTTTGGCCCACTCCTCCATACAGACCTTCTCCAGATCCTTCAGGTTTCGGGGCTGTCGCTGGGCAATACTGACTTTCAGCTCCCTCCAAAGATTTTCTATTGGGTTCAGGTCTGGAGACTGGGTAGGCCACTCCAGGACCTTGAGATGCTTCTTACGGAGCCACTCCTTAGTTGAACTGGCTGTGTGTTTCGGGTCGTTGTCATGCTGGAAGACCCAGCCACAACCCATCTTCAATGCTCTTACTGAGGGAAGGAGGTTGTTGGCCAAGATCTCGCGATACATGGCCCCATCCATCCTCCCCTCAATACGGTGCAGTCGTCCTGTCCCCTTTGCAGAAAAGCATTCCCAAAGAATGATGTTTCCACCTCCATGCTTCACAGTTGGGATGGTGTTCTTGGGGTTGTACTCATCCTTCTTCTTCCTCCAAACACGGCGAGTGGAGTTTAGACAAAAAAGCTCTATTTTTGTC